GGGCTCAGTCCTATGAGTTCACCCTCCTGTTCAGATGCCCGTTGTCCGTCCAGGTGGTCACCCATGCTTGTAACCTACTGACTACAAATCAGAGCTTCCCACGACTTCTTCCTTGGGTTTAGTTGCTAGAGCTGCTCGGAGGTTTCAGGAAACCCATTTACTTACTAGATTACGAATTTACTACAAAGGATATTAAAGGATACAGATCAACCGTGAGATGATGAAATACAGAAAGAGAGATCTGGAACAAAGGAGCTTCTGTTCTCATGGAGTTTGGGGTCTAGCACGTTGAAGTACTGTAGTTCTCCAGCCTGGAAGCTCTCCTAACCCCTGCTTTTTGGGTTTCTATAAAGGACACAATACGTAGGCATGATTGAAGAACTCATTGGCAATTGGTGATTGAATCAACTTTTAGTCCTTTTATCCTTCCAGGAAATCAGGAGGTGAGTGAAAGCATATCCCCTCTTCATGGTTCATTCCTCTGGCAACCAGTGCCCACCCTTAGGTACTTTCTAATAGTCACCTCATTAATGTAAACAGAGATGGGGAAAGGGAATTGTTAAAGCAGGACACCCATTTCACTTTTATGGCTGTGGTACATTTTCAGGAACTAAGGGGACAAGAGATCAAATATTATAATGAAAGATGCTTCCATTGCTCTTACCACTCAAGAAATTCAAAGGGTTTTGGGAGCTCTGAGCCCCGCTTTGGACCATGTATATATATTTCTTATAAATCACAAAATTACACATGTACTCTAACATTCAAAGTGCTTCTGTTCAAGGAAAGGCTCACAAACATTGAGAGACAGTATAGTGTAATGAGTGGTTAAGAAAATGAGCTCTGGTGCCAACCTGCCTGAGTTTGAGGTCTGGCTCCAGCACTTACTGGCTGAACTACTTTGAACAAGTTACTTAACCTCTCTGTGCTTCAGTTGACTTATTTATGAAATGGGGGAAATATTATTTATTTATGAAATAATATTGACCTTGTAGATACTTAATGAGGATTAAATGGGTTCATGTGTTTAAACTACTTAGAACAATACCTGGCACATAGGAGCAAATACTTAATGTTTCCATATCCTTGAATGAAATTTGCAAAGAGGCATTTTCCAAGTCCTTTACACACATTAACCACATACAACTTTCAAAACAACCCTAGGTTGTATCGTTCCCAATTTATAGATGATAAAACTGAGGCAAAGCCACACAATGTGACGAAAGTCTGTAAAGCCTTTAAGTGGCAGTGTCAGGATTTTAAGCTAGGAAGTATAGCTCTAAAGTATATGCTCTTGACCATTACACCAGATTCAGAATTGTCCTCATACCTATTGATAGCAAGTGTCATGGAGGGCTTTAAAACCGTGTGTTTTTGGTGTGAAGGAAAAAGGAAGCCTGGCTTTGAGTAAGTCCAATTGAAAGGTGGATCCTGCACATCTGAAGTGAGTCATTGAGTTCAGTGCCAAAATGCCCTAAATTTAGGAGTTTCTTCCATAATTTTTACCTCTAAAGGTCCTTGATATCTATTTCTCAACCAAGATTTTCTGAAGAGCTTATTTTCTTACCTAGAAGAGTTTCATCAAAGTGTTATGAAGGATAAACAATTTTTAAGGTGTTTTTCTTTATTAATTTTTTTTTTTAAGTAACTACTTCAGTGCCAAAGTATTCTTAAGAGTAGGGGATAAAGGACTTGTGGTTGGCAGAATCACAACGCTACACTTCATTTGGACCATGCCTTGCATAGTGTGAGTGTGTATGTTGGTATTTTCAATGGCCTTTAGAAAAAGGGATGATACTGGGAGCGGCCAATGGTTTCTCCTAGTTTTAGGCATCCTTAGGAAAGAATCAAGCTCTTTTACTGGAGTCTCTCATTCTCAGTGTTTTCTGTCATGAACAATGAAAAGAACATTGAGTTTGTTATCTGTTTCTGGTGATTTGGCTGGCACCTTGGGGAATTTGTTGCTTTGTGAACACTCGTCCAGCTCTGTTGTCTGTTTGCCCTCAATTTACAGGCACTTTTATAGGCAATCAGAACAAAAAGACATGCGTTTGTCTATAGCCTTTCTTTGGAATTTACTTGAGAAATTGGAGCAGCTGTGTGTTTTACCCAAACATCTTAGCATTAGCACTTAATGATACTGTTTTTCTTCCAAGCAAACCAACATGGGCAGATGAAGGTCATGTTTTCCAGAATGGGCCTCTGTCTTCTCACCCATGTTTTATTTTCGTTTATTCTTATAGTAACATCTTCATTTGGATTCATGTTGTTAAATCCATTTTGCTTTGGCTGTTGACCTTTCCAGGTTTTCATGGTAGCGGTTGAGAGATGTGGAAGTTTGATTTTGTATCAGAATGAGAACATGTCTGTTCTGCTCCAGAGAAGAGCCAAGGCTGCCAAAAATAGTTGGAAAAGAATGTTGCCCAATCCCGAGTCCAGTTGTCAGAACCCCTCTACAGTGTTCCTTCCTGGACAGTCTTTGAGTCTCCATTCAGACATTTCCTTAGAAACTTTTTCTATCCACTTGTAATTCCCACTACTAGTCATAATTCCAAATCCTGGGGATTGAATAAAATAATGCCTTTCCCAGGGTAAAATATGAGGGCATGGGTAAGTTGTTATCATGTCCTTCTCTGGGTCTTCTCTTTTCCAACGAAGGCATTCCCTACTCTTTTACTGTTTTCTCATGGAATATTTGGAGTCATTTCACGTCTTGGTCTCTCACTTTGGAAGATGTGTATTTGTTGATGTGTAAAGTGTGGTGGATAGGACTAGACCAGGACTTGGGGCTGGCTGGTCTGACTCTTGCCAAGTAAGATAGCACCAGACTTGTCAATTACTCCAAGCATCCTATGTGACAGTGATTTTTCAGAGAGAAACCATAAATACCCTACACGTATTACCCAAGAGAACTGAAAGCATATGTAACCCCAAAGTGGAGACAACCCAAGTATCCATCAAATGGCTAAACAAAATATGATATATCCATTCCATGGAATAATAATATTCAGCAATAAAAATGAATGACATATAGCCCTGGCTGGTGTGACTCAGTGAGCTGAGTGCCAACCTGCGAACCAAACGGTTGCAGGTTCGATTCCCAGGCAGGGCACATGCCTGGTTTGCAGGCCAGGTCCACACGATGATGTTTCTCTCCCTCTCTCTCTCCCTCCTTTCCCCTCTCTCTAAAAATAAAATAAAATCTTTAAAAAAATGAATGACATAGATATACAGTATGACATGAATGAACCTTGAAATCAGTCTGCTAAGTGAAAGAAACCAGACATAAAATACCACATACTATGTCATTCTGTTTATATGAGAGGTGCAGAACAGGCCAACCTGTAAAGACAGAATGTAGGTTAGTAGTTGCCACAGGCTAGAGGGAGGCAGAAATGGGAACGTCCTGCTAATGGGTACAGGGTTTCTTTCTGGGATTATAAAAATGTTCTAGAACTAGGTAGTGGTGATGATTGCACAACATTGATAATGTATTAAAAACCACTGAGTTGTACATTTTAAAATGGTGAATATTATGGTGTGTGTTATATCTTAATAAAGCTGTCACAAAAAATGGCTATTATTTCCTATGTGAAGGTGAGGATTTATGAGAGTCAAATGAAATGACACTCACATGCAATGCTTAAAGCACAGTGCCTAGGACATAATATAGGCTCAGTTAATGTTTGTTATAGTGGCTCTTAAGGAAAGTAATGCTGCCTTTAAGTATCAGTAAGCAACTCTTCTTCACTGCCACGTTTGTAGAATATTACCTGTTATATAACGTGCAGTCTGTAAATACTTTCTGAATGAATGTGTTCACGTTCATGTTCAGCCACATTCAGTAATGTGGTCGTCTTTTGTGTTCTGCTTCTTTCAGTGAGTTACTGAATCCGCATCATGGGGCCCGACTTTGAGCTACTTTTGTCCAGTAGTAATGATCCAGTGATACAAAGCTCTTCACAGCTCATGCTTGTGTTGAAGTTGGAATTATGAGTGTAGACTCCATTTTGGGAAGGAAAGGCAGCTCTACCTTAAATTCAAGCGGAAGGTGGGGGGGGGGCAGGGGGAAATGATTGTTGAGCTTCTCCTCCCCTGGCAATAATATAATTCTGCTTTATGTTTTTACAAGAATTTAATTTTCTCGTTGAGAATGTGGTTCTTCCTGGTTCACTATCAGTTCCCTGGAACAGAGAGGACTTATATCTTTGTAAAAACAAAGTCAATTTCTAGAAATTAACCAATTTAAACCGATGATTTGGTCTGCTGACCCAACTCACAATTTCCATACATAAGGGATTGTTATTTTGAATTAAAATACAAGCGTTTTTTTCTCTGAAAATAATTTTAAAAATTATCATCTCTTTATGAACTTGGGAATCCACTGATAACACTGAGTGTCCTTTACAATCATGTCAGCAAGGTGCCATTGGCTTATACTGAGGCTCAAGAAAGGAAATAAACCTGTTTTTGTATTATCCAGCATTCTTTCTAGCAGAACAGGGGAAATTTTTATTCCTTTGGTCTCTAAGGAATGGTTGTGCTTCTCAGCCTCCTTTAGTCTTCTCTATACCGTGAGCCGTGTAGGTGATCCCATGTCCTTGTTATCATAAACTGTTGGGAGGCTCAGTGTCCATGTGTGACTCGCCTTTAGGAAGCCGCCAGGACTTCTTTCCTGGCCTTTTATGTACTACGTTCCCTCTAGACTCCAACTTTGTTTCCAACTCTTATTTTTATTTTAGGTCTAATTTATATTTTCTTTTATTTCGGTCTGCGTATATCTTCAAGAGCTGCTTTTATAATTCTTTGGGAGACAAAAGGGAAACGGTGTCATTATTGAAGCAATATTTAAATCATTACTCAAAAAACATCTATCTGTAACTTTCCCCCATACCAACAGGGAGAAATGGGAGAGAAGGCAAAACTGTCCATAAAAAGAATATAAGCTTTTTATTTTTTTGAAGCTTTTTTGAGTGTCATTTTTCCTGTCTTTTTAATAGAAGTTGGTGATATGGCAAAGCAGTACATAGAGAAAGGTCTTTTGGTTCCAGATCATGTGATCACACGCCTAATGATGTTGGAGCTGGAAAACAGGCGTGATCAGCACTGGCTACTAGACGGTGAGTTCACCCTGTGGGTAAGCTGGATTTCTGTGAATAGTTTGTCCTTTATTGAATTCCGTTACTATTGCAGTTTTCATGATGCCTTTTGGTTTCCATGACTAAATTGTCATAAGTGTAACTTCTGAAATCAGAGATTTTCATTCGAAAGGCCACACAAATTAAAACCATGAGTTATCATTTTCACCTGTCAGAATAATCAAGACAGAAAATCTGAAAATCTTTTACTGAGTATGTAGGAAATAAATACTGTTGAGAATATAAAATGGGCAAGCCTCGGAGGGCAGCTTAGCAATCTTCGTACTTTTCAGCAGTTCTCTTGAAATCTGCTGGATTTCTTGCCTAAAGATATAGCTTCAACAATGTTTATTTTCAACATCATTTATAAATAGCAAGGCATTGGTAACAACCTAATTACCTATCATAGGGATGCCTTAAATTTTGGTATGTTCATTAACCAAATAATCTGTATCTGTGTGTCAATATGGAAAGATCTCAAGATAACTGCCAAATGAACAAAGCTAGTTGCAGTTTAGTGTATATCATATATTATTATTTATGTAAAAAATGGAGAAATGGAATAATATTACTGTATATACTTACAAACACATGCATAAGCTATCTTTGGAAAGTTATAAAAAACCGTTAACAGTGGGTAAGGATTAAGGTTGGGAAAGAGACTTACCTTTGACCATATATACCCTTTGATACTGTTTGATTTTTAATATGTATTTAAACAGTACAAGGACCTGATTTAAAAAGCCAGTTGTTCCTAAACTTTTTAGGCTTTATGGATCCCTTGATGACATCTATGATATTTTACCCAAGAAAATACATACAGAGGCTCACACACAAAATACTACACAATTTCGTGTTTCAGCAAGCTGGAATTCAGTATCTTCTACTTTAAGTTTGCCCAATATAAATCTTTTGATTGACCAAAGGAAAGAAACAGATTGGGCAGATTCTTTGTCTTACTAAGTAGCAAGATCCCTTAGTGCAAAGAAAATAGAAACTTGATGAACATACTGCTTTCTATGAACAAAAAAATGTGACAGTGAGATTTAGCTCTAATAGACTTGTTTGCACTGCAGAGTTTTCCTTTAGTTCACACAGTGCACTCATTTCTGTCTTAATTTGGTGAAACTGAAGCCTCGGGAAGCTGTGACGATTGAAACCTTGATGTTTGCCAACCACAGAGAAATTGGAGGAATTGTCCTACATTTAAACTATCAGATTGCCTATATTTGTGCTAAAGCCTAGAGTCATGAATCTCCAAAATGACCAATATGGTGGAGTATTTATTCTATATCAGTGTTTCTCAAAGTGTGTAGTGTGCAATGTTTATAATTGCTAGATCACAAAACAGACTTTGTGTTCAAATATGCTTAGAAAAATGTCAGTTTAAATATTACAAACAACTTTTAATTGTAGGGATCATTCAATCCCTATAATACCTGTTTGGAAGTAGGTACCACTATCCACATTTAATAGACGAGAAAACTGAGACAAAGTGGGGTTCAGTTACTGGCCCAAAGTTAATAAGTGTCGAAGTTAATCAGTTTTCTTTATTTCAGGATTTTGTCAAATTTATAATATGATAATGTGATTTAATGCCCCACAGAAGGAGATATCATGAGGTATTTTCTGAACATCCAGGATTTGTTCTGTGGAGCATTCTTTGTTAACTGTTATTCAACGTGTTCTATACTTTGTAGGTGTTCTCAAATGTTGACTATAAAGTAGATCATATCTTATTAGAATAACTCCCATTAAAAAAATTTAGAACTGTGTTCTCATAGGGTTGGAGGGAACCAACAGACTGAATTGAAAACTTGTTAAAAGAAAGGCTGTAGTGGCTTGTGGAAGGCATGTGTTTATTCATTTGGCAATAATGAATAAAGGTTCTTCTGTGTGTCAAAAACTATTAAGTGCTGTTGATAAAAATGGTAAGACATTGCCACCCTGGCCAGGTGGTTCAGTTGGTTGGAGCATCATCCCATGCATGAAAATATTGAGTTCTGTTTCCGGTTAGGGCACATACCTGGGTTGTGGGTTTGATCCTTGGTCAGGGCATGAACAGGAGGCAACCGTTGGAAGTTTCTCACATCAATGTTTCTCTCTCTCTCTTCCCCCTTCCCCCAAATCAGTAAAAAACATATCCTTGGGTGAGGATTAAAAAAAAAAGTAAGACATTGTTGCTACTCTTTAAGGGGCTTCTATTGTATTAGGGGAGTCGGGTATATAAAAAATTAATTACTGAAGTATAATAGAAGTATATATATGTTGTACCTTGAGGACCTAAAGGAGAAAATTATGGTGTATTGGTGGTAGGAGGGATTGGAACAACTTTTGAAAAAGAGGTAGTAAATAAGAGATGTTTTGTAGGGTGATGAGTAAGGGTTGGGAAGGTAGATTTTTTTTTTCAGCAGAGGGGCAGTGCGAACTGGGTAAGAGAGGAATGATAGCCTGGTATTTGCTGGGCCTATAGGTAGGAGGCAGCAAGGGAAATCCTGGAACGGATGATATTTGATTCCATGCAGAGATGGTGGAACTGGAAATTGTTAACTGTTGGGACCATTGAAGAGTTAAGTAGGGGCATGCCATGGTCGGATTTGTGTCTCAGAGAGACTCTTCGCTTAGCAGCAGAGGGGAGATTAGGTGCTGGGGCAGGGAGGCAGGGGTGACTAGAAGCCAGTAAGAGATTGGTAGAATAGTTGAAAGTCTGAATTTAAACAATAGCAGTGTGATGGAAAGGAGACACCATTTGGGAGAGAACAGATTGAACAGGAAGAATGGGTAGGGTTGTGACAGATGTTAGGTATCACAGTCCTGGGTTTTCTTTTACTGTCTTCCAAGCCTTTTGAGTTTCTTGGCTATCATCCCCTTCCCTACACTTGTTCAGCCAGTTTGATTTCTCCAGACTTTATACATTTAACTCACAAAAGTTAGCCCTCTGATACTTCTTGGGTAGGTGTTTGCCGTGACTGATAAACTTTGGCTTTGCCACCACCCAACAGTAATTTCCCGAGTTTAAATTCCTTTTTTCTTCTTTTTCTAAGATTTTAATTATTTATTTTTAGAGAGGAGAAGGGAGGGAGAAAGGGAGGGAGAGAAATATCAATGTGTGATTCCCTCTTGCGGGCCCCCTACTGGGGACCTGGCCTGCAACCCAGACATATGCCCTTTGGTTTGCAGTCTGGCACTCAATCCACTGAGCCACACCAGCCAGGGCCCAAGTTTAAATTCTGTATTTGTAAGGCTTCTCAACTTATAAAGTGAACTTTTTCAGTAAACTTAAAAATCTGTTTTAAAAATGATCATCTATATTACACTTTTGGGGAAAGTGGTTAGTGTAATAATAACTTACCCCAGGTAGTGCCACACTACCCACTTTGAATCTCAGCTCTGCCACTTACTGGCAGTGTATGTGACCTTGGGCCAGATACCTTACCTCTGTGCATTCTGTTCCTCATGGACAGGGATCAGAAGAGGGCTTGTAAGCATCAAGCGAGTGACTATGTGCAACGTGCTTAGAAAAGTGTTCGCATATAGTAAGTGCTAAATAAGTATGAGATTCTATTATTTGTTGTACATGATGTGCAGGTCTTTATTTTTTTCCTTGCATGAAGAATTAAGTTCAAAAGTAGTTTTAAAAACAACATTTAGCTATGCAAAGTTGAAAAGTCAGTTTCAGTTATGGATTGTTTTATGTATCTTTTCAGTGCTTTGCTTTTGCCATAACTTTTCCTCTTGGGGTAAATAACTGAAGTTCTTTTACATCATAGCCTGTTTTTAATAAAATACATCAGTCTCCTAACTGAGTTTGTATGTTTCTCCTTGAACACCCATCTGGTCACTTTTTGAGTTTTGATTTTCCTTTAAAGCTCTGGAATAAATCCATCTGGCAAAGTGAGGAGTGTCAGGAATGCTGAGTTCCATGTTCAGCCTTAAACTCCTTAGGTGCCAGGCACGTGCTCTGCAGAGGATGTGCCTGTTGAGTGTGCGAAAGGTGATTGAGTGTGGAAAGGTCAAGAGAAAAATTCTGGATGACAGATGACTCACCATCTTGGTCCATATGGCTGTGCAGAGGCATCCTGCAAGTGGTGGGTGGAAATGAGTCCAGTGGGTGGAAGCCAAGGGAACACCAAGGGGGCTGGAGGATGGGGTTGGCGAATGCTCTGTGGTTTGGTCAGCTATGCCCTTGCCAAAAAAACATTCAGCACCACCTCGCCTTCACAGTGTACTTTCCAACTGGGTCAGAACCACTCCTTTATGCATTAATATGTGTATATATGTGTGGGGTTTTGCCCCCCTTCTTTTTTCTTTCTTTAATTTCTTTGGAAGTTGAATGTGTGGGAGCAGTATTTTTAAAATAGTTTTCTTTAATTTTTAAGAAAAATATCCCACCAGAGAAATGTAATGCACAAGACTTCTAAATTTGTTATAAAACCATTTTTTTTGTTGTTTCATAGAAAAGGTATTTACCGCTTACTAGGTGATCTCAAGGTGAAATAGAAACTACAAGATAATAACCAGCTCTTTTATTTTATTTGTATTTATTTTAAAGTACAAATTCTACACTTTCTAAAAGAAGGCTGGAAATAAGGTGGGGTCAGTAGGAAGCTTTGTTAGTATTGGACATTTTTCATGTCTAAGCTTGAATGCCAACCTGTGCACTTAAACAGTAACCTGTATGTTCTTAAACTTAGTCCTAATTTATCTCCAGATAGCAAGATGTAACAGAATTGTCTGCCAGATAACTTTAGGTGTAGGTATCAAAATATTTTAAATTTGTTGTCAAAGTTTGATTTCATAGAAAGCAGCCTTAAAATTTGGAATTATAGGTGAAATATAATTTAAGCCTTGTCATTGGAGAGAAAGATACCTTTAGAGTGAGAGTCGTCACTTGGCCCATGGCTGGATGTTCCGTTTGTTTCATTCTGAGCAATGTTGAATGCTAACTGGTGCTTTCTGTAGGTAATTCTGGGATTTTTTTT